GACCATCTCCCTTACCCGAGAAGGAGCAATATGGCACCTGTCCCTATTCAGGGGCATCCTTATGACATTTTGGCTAGAGGCAGGAGGTACTCTGTGTGCTCAACTAGATCTGGGCAGAGACTCCAGGAGAGTTTGTGGGCAGGGTGGAGTTCAAGTCTGGGTGAGTGTTCCACTGATGCAGCTGAGGGCTAGAGATACAGCTGCTCCTGGGCAGTGAAGTGGGAGGGGCTGAGGACCTGAGATGGAGAGCATGCTAACACTTACCAACTAAGACGGTATAAATTTGTCTTCAGTTGGCTCATATCTAGCTAGTGAAATTAGTGAGGGTAGTTCTACTTGGCTTCCACATAAAGCATGAGCTTTCAACTGGAATGAAGGATGGAGATTGGGAAATTAGCCATAGTGTCATAGTGCATGCAAAGCATTTAGGCACACACAAAAAACATAAATATAATGGGACTGGTGGCATACCTGTAATCCTACTAAGTGTAAGTCTGAGATTCAGATGATCACATTTCAAACCATCCTAAGCAGAAAATTCCTGAGACGCTATCTTCAAAATAACCAGCAGGGATATAGGTGTGGCTCAAATGATAGAGTACCAGTCTAACAGAAAGTAAGAGATTAGATCACCTTATCTGCATAGTATATAAAATATTCATGGCACTTCAACAAATAACTCTTAATTTTCTAAATTACCTGAGTTAATCGGAATTTGAAAAACACAAAGTTTTCTGAAGTTCAACATGTATAAAGAATAAAAAAAAAAAAAACAACCACTTCTAGATTCAGGGTTGGAGGGGGTGTTGTTTTTTTTCCTTTTTTCATTTGCTTTGTGTTTGTTTGACTGATTTGTTTTGGGGATTTGAGGGTATTTTTGTGGTTGTTTTCTTTTCCTTTTTCTTTACTGGTAATGTTTAGGCTTCATTTCTAAAGAAAAAGAAATAAAGAAGATGAGATAAATTGCTTAACTTGGCTGTAACTTGTATTCTGTGATAGTAACAATATTCTAGAATTTCATCTGTGTACTGTTAAAATTTACATGTGTATTCAGTGCCTATATACACAAGTATTATGAAGAGAAATTTCTCATATAGATTGGGGTTGGAATAGTTTTCAAAGAAGTTGTACTTTATTTACATACACATGCTTACAATGAAATCATGTGCCTATGAGGAATAGCCCACTGCATTAGGATGTGTGTATATGAATTTCTCTGTTCTATTCATTGCAGATATGATTGTATTACCTTACATAATTTTCCTCTAGGTATCTACTAAAATTAAGTTGAATTTGAAATATGTGTGTATTATATTGAGTGTGCTTGTGTAAAATTAAAAAGTAAATCTAAAACTTGCTTTGGGAAGCACATTTTACTTGCCACACTATATGCGGAGGCCTATGCTAAGAGAAAGTTTTATTTTACTGTTTTTGATTTAGTTTCTTTCGCCTTAAGCGTCTGTTCCAATGGAGACATTTGCAGGACTTGTCAGAACCATGTGACTAAAATGTCATTCATTGTAAGACTGTGCTCTGCAGGTGTACCTAGAATGCCTCTCTCTCTTCCCAAGGGTTCATGAAAACGTTTAATATTGTATTGAGACAAAATGTCATCAATATAAGGTATATTAAATAGGTAGGTTTCATTAGGTAGCTAATGAAGACAATACCATGCATTATTCAGTCAGGAAAATAAGTTTATTTACCAAACTGCAGTCCCTGCTGTGCATGGTTGAGAGGCATGGCCGAAAGGGCAACCCACTCCTGGGACAGAATTTATCTAGGCCTGGGACAGGAAGAGGTGTAGCCAGGTGGAGAAAAGGAATGGCCACACTGAATCCGGATGTGACCTCAAGGCCTGGGACCCTCTGTAGGTCAGATGGGAGGCTTGACCAGAGGCAGCCCAGGATCAGACCTAGCAGGAGCAGGGGAGGTGGCTGCTTCCAGGTGTGCCAGTTACCTAGGTAACCCAGATACTGGGTGGAAACTTAGCCAAGAGGTAGGGAGATATCTGCACAGAGCCTGCATGGCCCAGGGCAGACCTTACAATCGTCACATTCAAAACATATTCTTGGTGCTTCTCTTAGAGTTTTATTTTTGCATTTTTCTTATGATGTGATACCGTTGTGATACCCTTGAAGTGTACAAGATCATCTGAATGTTAAATAAGAAGACGATTGCAGAGGGCCTAAAAGAATGCAAAGAATAGGATTCAGCCACTTTGGGCATCTAAGTGCTTATTTTCAAATGCTGCACAAGCAGGAACTTCAGTCTAATCTTTCAAGTAGCTATTGGCTAGAGACATCTCATTTAGGTTTTAAGACAACATAGGAGAAAGATTAGTACAGTGGCCTGCAGGCCAAATCCAGCCACCACCTGTTCTCCACAGCCATGAGCTAAGAAGGATTTTTTCCATTTCTAAATGGTCAGGAAAACAAATCAAAAGAGGAGTAATGCTGTGAGACAGGTGGGAACTGCATGACAGTCATTTCAGTGATGCTCAATAAAGTTTTATTGGAACACAGCCACACCATTTGCATACTCATCACCTACTTGGCAGGGTAGAATGGCATCCCAGGGGCCATCTAAAGTCCTCAAAGCCAAAAATATTTCCTGACTATAGAAACAGCTTGTCAATACATGGCATAAATTGAAGTCTTATTCTGGGTAACCCCAGAATTAAGATCATAAGGACTCAAGTCCACTGACACAAGGCCGTTGCCATTCAGTAGCAAATTAAAAAATATATAGATACTTAGTAAAGATATCAGAAAGCTAGTTCTACTATTGCTCTTAATTGCTATGATTGTTGTCTTTGAAACAATAGAGATCATAAAGACTTATTTACTCTTTCCAAAAACAAGAGTGTAGCCATAGTGTGAGAGACTAGAGAGTTGTAAATACTTGTAGGTCAACATGAGGATGATTTGGATACATGGAGATAACTCAACTGTGATGTTCTGAGTCTCGGGAAGTAGAGAATTATGTAATCGTGACAGGCCCAAGGACATTGGAAGGTCTGTAATGAACGCACATTAACCTGTAAGAAGCCAAGGCTCCCAGTATGCATCCTCCACCCTGGCTGTGCCTTAAGTTTCTACACTTGCTGAATGTCAGCAGGGGTGTTAAGTGGGGACAGAATATCCCCTCTAAACATCTTCCTGTGGCCAAGCAAGGCGAACTTCTTACACAAAAGAACTTACTACATAAGAGGATTTTCTTTGACATTGATTTTGGGGTGAAAATTTATTTTTTCCCATTTTATTCATTTGGAATTGCTGTGTGTATGTAAGTGGGGGGGGGGTGGGGGGAGAGGGAGAGAGGTGTGCCTCAAATGGTACAATGACAGAATTGAGTAAAGAGGCAAAGCAAGAGTGGAGAGCCTGAGTTCAAGCCCCAGTACCAGCACATTATTTTTTAAGTTTGTCAGATCTTCTGAGTGCTCTTTTCTATATGAATTCATCTTGTGATTACGTATCAGGGATGGTGGTAGAAATTAGTACTATCTTCAAAACAGGAACGTGTCTGCAAAACCTTTTCAACTCAGAATTTTCACCAGAGATGACATTTCTGTCCTTACTGTGAAAGTCCCTATGAGAAATGGTAACCTTTAATCCTTTGTGTTGTCTTAGTCTTCATCATAGTGAAGTTATTATCTAAAAGGTTACCTCTTTTTCCCACTGAATATACTGGTAGGAATCAATTACTCAGCTAATGGATGATGAATAAATACTTGTCATCATAATATGATGCATGCTATAGCAGATTCAGAAAATTATTAGATATGATCCTTAAGCGTTAGGAATCTATAGTCAACTTGAGAAGACAAACTTCACATAAAAATACACATATAAGTACATATGTAAAATAAAAGCATTGTAGTCATTTGACTATTTAACCACTGCATAGAAATAGTTCAGGGAAGACATAAATCATTTTGTGGAAAGAGGAAATAAGAACTGAATCACATTGTAGGAGGATTATGTGATCTTAAAAACCAAAGCAAAGGGAGGTAGTATGCTTTCCTTATGAATAGAATAAAGCAGCTGAAAACAAGTGGCAGAGTGTCACCTACACCATAGCTAATGGATAAAGGAGGAAACAAAAATGCATACTTAATTTTTACAGCTACTCTGAGGCCAAACCAGAGAAAGCCTAGTTAACATTATAAGAGTAGATATTTTATTATAGGTGGAATAGAACATACCGTAATTAGTGAGTTTGGAGACAGAGTTTGGAGTACTATGGTTCAAGCCATAAAATGACAGAATATTGATTAAATGTAAATAGTGGGAATGAGGAAGGAGGGTGAAGCTGATTATTATATTAGAAAAGGAAACCTGAGGGGGATTCCTTCTACATCCTAGTAGGAGAGCCTAGAAGGCTATAAGTGCTCGGCTCCTTGTAGTTTAAAGGGGATTTGTTTAAAGGTATGAAAACGACATCAATTTCTAGTTCAGTGAGTTGAAGGAGGTGGAAGGTTTGTGTAATTAAAACAACACAAGATTATTTGAAGATCTATAACTAACTCACATTGACTTATAAGATTGGAAGTGCAGATTTAACATAGAGGAAGGAAAGATGAAGAGGATGTCAAAGATAAAACCTTTATGTTCTGTATATTAACCAAGAGAGAGAAGAGTCAGGCACTTTGAAAAAATAGGAATGAGTTACATCATTCCCCAGACCAAAGATGTAGACTATGTCAAGCAGAGCTAAAAGGTAAGCACACACCACACACATACACACACACACACACACACACACACACACACACACACAGATCAAAGAAGGAAGGACCAATACAAGATGTGGGAGACAAGGCTCTGGGGAATGTCCAAAGTACAGGTAAGTTTAGGATTAGGATTCAAACTAGACTGTCCCAGGCCTGCCTGTATAACTTTCCATCCCTAGAGTAACAATATCAATTAAAGTTCACTTGAATATCATTATTGTGGTTTGTTTCTTCATTTTCATCTGTGTTGTTTCATCCTACACAGGAATTTGTCTTACTTTGCTACGCAAAGCAGCCCCTCTGCTGTCATTTTGAACCTGTGGGAGGCTCGTCATCAGCACGATGGTGACCTTGACTCCCTGGCCTGTGCCCTGGAAGAGATTGGGAGGACACACACGAAACTCTCGAACATTACGGAATCACAGCTTGATGAAGCCGACTTCAACTACAGCAGGCAAAATGGACTCTAGTCTACTTCCTCCTGGGAAGTAGAGCGATGGCCAGCTTTGGGACATTTGCTTTAAATGGGAAAGAAAGAGGCAGCTGTCTGTGCAGTGGCATCTGAGGAAATCAGCCTTTATTTACAATCAGTGAGATTCCTTGTTTGAAGAAACTGAATTTAACATAGGTAAAACATGTTAATATGGAAAGGCATAAGCTCTGTTAAACTGGAGGAGCTCTTCTGTCGCCTCTAAATTTACACACAGGTGGACATTGGACAAACTCCTCTGATTTGGAGTAGAAGGGAGGTTACAGCTAGCTAGAAGATGTGAAAAGATGAGCTACAATAAAGCTGCAAAGGCAAAGATTGATGAAGTGCATGTTTGGAAACAGGTTTTTAATGATGTACCCCTCAGGACCAGCTGATTCGGGTACCAGATGGCATCTATGATGTCAAGAATCAAATTGGCTTTTAGAAGTGAAACAGGGTTGCCAACCCATTGTTAGACTTCATCAATGTCAAGAAAGGAGGGTCTTTAGAATTTAGAGAATATCACACCAGCACCAATTTCCTGTCTATACTAGCCAATTAATGGAGACAAGACCGAAAAATGAGTTAGACAACCAACTAGTTCTTATAGTATATTTCACTTTTTTTGTTTTTCTTGCCAGTCCTGGGGCTTGAACTCAGGGCCTGGGCACTGTCCCTGATCAAGGTGAGAGCTCTACCACTTGAGCCAAAGTTCCAATTCCAGCTTTTTGGTGGTTGATTGGAGATCAAGGTCTCACAGTTCCTGCCCCAGCTAGCTTCAACCCATCATCCTGAGATCTCAGCCTCTTGAGTAGCTAGGATTACAGATGTGAACCACTGGTACTGGCTTTCACATTCACTTTTTTCAGAGACAAGTCTGCTCATTTCTTCCCCTATTCCAAATCCAATGCAGTAGGTTTCAGAGAACATAGACTTTTCAATATGGAAATGTATTGCTTTTTACTTAATAAAGAAGGACCATCTCTATTCTACCTAAGCTGCTCAATTTAAAGAGGGCTATTCAAACACAGCTTATTCTACAATATGGGGACAGAAGAAGCCAGGACAAGTCTAGAGATAAATATGAACTGCAGATCTCAAATAAGCTGTAGTTCTAGAAGACAAGTGTTGATTTAGTCCTCCAATACTTTTGTTTTAAAAGAACAATGAGTTTAAATGTACTTTTCAATTTAGATTCTGGAAATTTTCTAATTTTTTAGTACTGCACAATCATCACAATATCTTACAGTAAAGCTATAAGACACACTCTTTTTTGCTTCTGGGAAATTAGCAGTTTGTGCACTTCATAATACTTGAGTAAGTAGACCTCTACCAAAGTGTCCCAGAAACTGTACAAATTGTTTAGGGAGTATTCATGTTCCTAATACTGGCCAACCTCACCAACAATGCATTTTCCATAGAGCATTAACTCATAGTTGTTATTTTTATGATTCCTTTTTAAAAAGAAAGCAGTGATAATTGTAGAAAATTGAAGTTCACAGATAATTCATGAAGCTCATCTTTTACCTCATTTTCATTTAAAATATGATTCAGTCATATAAGAAGTCCGAGAAAGAAAAAATGAGAAAATATGTTCATTTTCTGGTAGACAATTTCATTAACTGTTCACAATCAGAACAACCAAAGTCAAGAATCTAGATTAACCACAAGGCAAACAGTCAGCTAATTAGACTTTGGTTACAGTAGAATAAAGTAGTCAGATACTAGGGGAGGTGAAAATACAAGACAGTGGGGATATGATCAACTTTTCACAAAAATTTTTAGATCCTGTGAGAGAAACAATGTTGTAAGTCTCCTTCAAGTGGAAAAGACATAAAGATGGTTAAACTATGATTCCTTGGATGAGGCATTGAAAACACTTAAATGTGTTGGCTACTTTCTTAAATTTATGTGTGATACTTGTGGTCCCCTGTAGTATAAGGCTTTGCTACATGTACTTCAAGAGCATTTTGCTTTTCTCAGGAACCAAAGGCTTATTATACAGAAGAAGCAAATCATTGTACAACTGTCAAGCATATTTTCAACATGCCACATCTAGATCAGGATAACACCTTTTTCCTAGTGAGCTGGTCTTGTTCATTCTTCCTAGAAAAAGTGAGAAAGCATGAAAATGTAAATCACTTTACTTCATCGACAGCATGTGTAAAAGAAAGAGGTGGAAATAGATGGTCAGTCATTCTGAATAAACTGAAGAGTCGGTGGATTGGCATGGTTAGATACAGAACAGATCTACAGTGACTCCTGGTAATAAACTGTTTCAAACTCATTGTAGAGCGCATATTAATGTCCATCCTGGAGGATTTTTGTTTTTAAGTCATCCTATTTTTTTCTTCTCTTCCCTTCCAATTGGCCTTATAATCTATTCATTTAGTCTATGAATGCTTTGTAGATTTTTGGAAGGATTTTAAAATACTTTCAAATTAATAAAAAATTTAAGTGATTTTTCCCTTAGAATCAACATAGACTGCTTAACAGATGCAACGAGAATAATATTGATCCCTGAGTATCTGGAACTTTTTCCTGCATATTTTTTATATTGTTTACATCTTGTAATTATTTCTGTTATGGTAGGACAAGCATTTTTATATAAATTTATTAAATAATGCAGTTAGTGCACATTGTCTTACAAGGCAGTTTCAAAGAGAACCCACGATTAAGTTTTATAGACCTAGTTGGGGAAGAGAAATTGTGGTTCATATGAAATCTTAGTTCACACTTGAACTTACAGTAATACACTGTGACCTTCACCTTTTTCCACTGTAATATTTGCCTATCACAACAGAAATGCCCCCTCTTAAAAGAGTCTGACTCATTAATCTAAGCACTTAATTTGGAAGTTACTGTTCTAGTACAAAATGTCCATAATTAAAAGGAGCCTTAAATACTTGGTAGATTTCTTAAAATTTTTACAAAATATCCCACTTAATTTAAATCTCTCAGTGCTTAAAGACATTTAAGTCTAATAATTATGCTTTAGACATCACTTATAATTATGCCACCCAAATGATACAATTCACAGCTTCACCAGACTGTAACATCATAATGTTAGTTTATAGATCTTACAACACTGCTTGTACATTTTTTACTGGTTTACATTAAAATCCTTTAAGCCAAAAAGGAAGTTTGCACTACGGATTTAAATGCAAACTTCATTACCAGTGCAGAAAGTCTCATAAAACTCATGTACTCCTACAAAAATTTTATTGGCCTTTTTGTAAGAGATGAAAAGGAATTGACCCAGTTCTCTTTAAAGATGGGAACGTTTCTTGTACTATTTTTATCTCCAACATCAGAGGTGTAATCTTTTACCATGGTCTCTGTATTTTTCCTTCAGTTGGCCTTGAGAGGAAGTATTGACTGAAAAAACAGTACTCACATGGGGTTTTATTTAGATGAAAAATTCTGGATTGACTACAATCGTATTTCATAATAAACTTAATTCTCAACATGGGTATTGATGAACAAACGTAGACAAGTAAACTAGTATAGCTGGTTTTAGACTGTCTTCTCAACTTGCCAACTCTGGTAAATTCACTTGTGAATTTCAAAACATTATAAAATCTTGGATACGATTTTCTTTTTCCTTGTAGCCATTTCCTCTTCAACTTCTTAGTGTCTCTGCCCTCTGTGAAAATATTGAATGATAGAGCTATCAGATGTGTTGAAGGTAATGTTCTCTGAGATTTCTGTTCTAGCTCTGTCTGTAAAGGTCACAGGAATCAGGAAGAAGCTGAGAAACATGCCTGTCTGGCCCATTGTGAGGCCCATTTCATTGTGTTTCCTCATGAAACATTGCAAAGTTTGAATCCTTAGTAACTCCCATTGACTGAACTACATGTGAGAGCCACATCAACTGGGAGAAAAAAATATTGGCCTAGAGATGGTGACAAAATTTTATTAGCCCTTTGGTGTTTGTTACCATAGCGCTGTGTTTGAAAATTGAAGCTTTAGCCAAAAGCTGAATGGCCACCGTTTCTGTAGTTTCCACTGTTTTGTCTGCATAGAATTTTTCTGAACTACAAGCAAAAGTGTATTTTGTCAAATGTCACAAAAAGTGAAGATGTTACTAATCTAGATGTGTTGCATATTTTGTGTTTTTCTTTTCCAAACTCTTTCAAAAAGCTGCAGTGACAAAGCTGTTTGGCTGTATTGACAGCATGTGGTGTTTTTTGCAAAAGCAATTCTAGGATAGCCAGCGTCTACCGTGGACTTCTTCTATTCCCACTCCAGGGTCATCAACAAAACCAAAATGGCAATTTATACACCCTACTTTTCCCACAAGATAAGAGGGATGAAACCCAGACCTGGCTATTAGTCACTAGTGTGTAGTACTGTGATCTGAAGTAGGAACTTTAACTCACGTAGAATAATTGTGGTTTGTGAAGCAGCTACTCATTGCTTTTTCCTTTTGCTGTGAAGATCATGGATTTGGAATGTCTTCATGAGATGGGCCTAAGACAGTAACATTTCAACTTCATGTCTTCTAACCCTCCCCTCATCTGAGCCCAAAGATTAAAAAAATAAAAAGGCAGAATACTTGATGGTTAGCCTAGAGCTTTAAAGAATCTTTGCCCTTTCCTCAATATTAAGTTCACTGGAGGTTATGCCTTTTTTCTTTTCCCCCCAAAAAAGATATAGCTTTGAATTATAAGCAGATGTTACTGAATTTGGCAAGGTAGTTAATTGCATGAATAGAGATATATGTCAAAATATTTTTACAACAGGCATGATTACATTAAAAATGTCCTTTTATCTCAAATTTTGCTAGCCCTAAAAAAGCATCTCACTTATGTCAAACATATACCCAAATTCCAAAATTGGGCAAATCATACAATTCTCTTAAATTTTAATATCTATAGGAGGTAATGACTTCATTGTGGATCTGGGAAATCATGAAAAGAGAATGTTATTGGAGAAGGTTCTATATGTAGAATACCATGTTTTATGAACACTTTATTGATACACAAATTACAGCAA